GGATTCAACAGAGACAGAGGGAAACAGAACAGGCGGACTGACCAAAATACACTGCTGAGAGGAGCAGTGGGCGAGCAAGGAGAGGTCTGCTGTGCAATGTGAGCTGCTCCCTGGTCGGGGCTGCGGTCAGCTTCATAGGCTGCATCTTAACCCCTTGCACCACCAGGGGGCCCAAGGCATCAATACATTTAACAAAGAAATTTGATCATCTTAACTTGCTATATTTCTAAAGCTATCATTTGATATAGTTTCTATTCACATTTAAGCACTTCTGCTGGAGTTTTTAAAAGTGGGTTCTTGTAGTAATACCCTTAAGTTCTAGTATTTCAAAGAATACTTTTATTATTCCCTCACACTTGAATAACAATTTGGCTAGATAAAAAGTCTAGGCTCAACATTCTTTTCCTTAATATTTAAAAATTGATTGATCCATTGCTTTCTTGCATTCAGAATACTATAGAAAAGTCAGACAACAATCTAAGTCTGATACCTTCATTTTTTTTATGTCTTCCTAATGCATATTTTTAGGCTGGCTGACCTTTTAAAATGAATAAACTTTACATTTTAGAAAAGCTTTAGGTTTGCCTAAATATTGAGACAGAAGTACAGAGTTCTCATATATTGCAAACCACCACACACACACAAACACACACACACACACACACAAGCACAAACACAGCGGTTCCCTTATTAGCATTTTACAATAGTGTGGTATGTTTGTTATAATTGATGAGGCAATATCGATACTTTATTATTAACTGAAATTTGTAGTTTACACTAATGTTTTCATGTTCTTTGGTTAAATACCTAACAGTGGTATGCTGGATCATGTGGTATTTCCATTTTCAGTTTTCTGAGATATATCCATACCATTTTCCATACAGGCTGCACTTAATTGCATTCCCACTAACAAATAGATGAGGGTTCCTTTTCCCCCCACATCCTCACCAACATTTGCTGTCTCCAATCTTTTTGACATAGGCCATTCTCACAGGGGTGAGGTAGTATCTCATGATTTTTTCAATTGCATTTCCCTAGTAATAAGATGAGCATTTTTTTCATGTACCTATTGACCACCAGTATGTCTTTGGAGAAATGCCTATTTAGCTCTTCTGCCCATTTTTTGATTGGGTTGTTTGTTTTTTCAATGTTGAGTTCTATGGGTTCTTTATATATTTTAGAATAAACACTTGTCAAACACGCAATGTGCAAATATATTCTCCAATTTCATGGGATGCCTTTTTGTTTCTGTGAAGGCTTCCTTTGCTTTTAGCTTGATATAGGCCCAATTAGATTATTTTCGTTTCCCTTGCAATTGGACTTGGGTCCCCCAAATACACATCTGTGGTTGATATCCAAGAGTATATATCCTATGTTTTCTGTTATGTATTTTATGGCTTGAAGTCTTAGATCCAAGCCTTTCATATATTTTGAATTAATTTTTGTATGTGGCATGAGATAGTGGTCTAGTTTCATTTTTTTGAATATAGCTGAAAAGATGCCTAACATCATTTGTTGAAGGGACTTCACTTTTCTCATTGTATGGTCATGGAATCTTTGGCAAAGATTAATTGTTCATATTCATGTGGGCTGATTTCTAGGCTATCTATTCTATTTCATTGGCCTGTGTTTCTGTTTTTGTTCCAATGCCATATTTTTTTATTACTGTCACTTTGTGCTATAGCTTGAAATCAGAGAGTGTGATATCTCCATTTTTCTTCCTTTTCTTCAAGATTGCTCTGATTAATTAGTGTCTTTCATAGTTCATACAAATTTTAGCATTATTTATTCTATTTCCTTGAAGAATGTCATTGGGATTTTTGATAGGTCTCACACTGTATCTGTAAATTGCTTTATCTTTCCAATCTGTGAACAAGGACATCTTTCCATTTCTTTGAGTCTTACTTCCTTTGACAGTGTCTTACGTTGGGTTGTCAGAAAAGTCATAACGTCTTTTTTCTATGTTTTCAAGCAAAAATGTATGATGACTTTTCCAACAACCCAGTACTTTCCAGGGTATGCCTGTCACCTCTTTTGTTAAGTTTACTCCAGGATATTTTATCTTTTTCAGTGAGATTGTTCTTAGGATTGATTTCTTAATTTCTCTTTCCTCTAATTCCTTGTTTGCCTATAGAAATACAATACATTATTGCTAATTGAGTTTCTATCATATTAATTATTTCTAGTAGTTTTTTTTTGTAATCTCTTGGGTTTTTTATGTACATCTACAAATAGTGCTATTTTAACTTGTAATTTGTATTCCTTTTTCTTTTCCCGAAGGGTTCTGATGTTATTGAGGGAAGTTCAAGTCACATCTTAAGTTATTTAGATAAGCAATAAATTCATTAAGATTCTGTAAGATGTAGGCTCTAGCATTGCATTGCATTCTTAAAATGAGTCTAGTAAACAGGAGAATTGTAATCAAGTACAGACATTTCACAAAACTGTATTTCTTCCAGCTCTAACCTCTCACTGTTAATTTGTATTCCTTTATGTCTTTTTCTTGCTTAATACCTCCAGCTAGGATTTCTAATACTATGTTGAACAGTAGTGGTGAAGTGAGCAACCTTGTCTTGTTCCTGAGCTTAGAGGAAATGCTTTCAATTTTTCAACATTAAGTATCATGTCAGCGGGTTTGACATGTATCCCTTTTATCATATTGAGATATGTTCCTTTTATTTCCAATTTATTGAGTGCTTTTATCATGAGTGTTGAATCTTGTCATATATTTTCTCAGCATCTATTGAAATAATCATGTAGTTTTTAGCTTTCTTTTTGTTAATGTGGTAAATGACTTTGATTCATTTGCACATGTTCAACCAGCTTTAAATTCCTTGACAGAATTCCACTAGTTCATGGTAGATGAGTGACTTAATATGTTGGTGGATTTGATTTGCTAAGATGTTTTTGAGAATTTTTGCATCTATGTAGAGATAGTTTCTTTTTTTGTTTTCTGTCGTTTTGTTTTAGAATCAGGGTAATGTTAGCTTCATGAAATGTATTTGGGCACTTTCTGCCCTCTTAGATTTTTTTGAAGAAATTGAAAAAGACAGGTATTAGATCTTCTTTGAAGTTTTGGTTGAATTCTGTTAGTGAATATAATTGATCCTGGCCTTTTGTTCTTAGGAAGTCTTTTTTTTTTAATATTTACTATTACTATGTGCATATGATTAGTCTATTCAAAATTGCTCTCTTTGCTTTTTGTGTAAGAAGCCTTACCCTTGGGCACTTACTCCTATTAGTAAGATCCAGGTGCTTAAGCGCTGATTAAGTGAGAACACTCAGCAGTTGCCTGTTCTAGACCTGCGTGGGGGCAAGGACAGTGCCAGATTGTTTTTTTTTGTTTGTTTGTTTTTTGTTTTGGTGGGACCCTCTCCGGTGGCCGGGGATTGAACCGGCGCTGCAGAGGCTGCGGGCAGCCTCACAGCCCAGCGCTCAACCGCTGCGCCACCAGGGGAGGCCCGAGACCCCAGACTGTCTTTAAGAATTTACGGGCCTCCCCTGGTGGCGCAGTGGTTGAGCGCTGGGCTGTGAAGCTACCCGCAGCCTCTGCAGCTCCAGTTCCAACCCGGCCACCAGAGAGGGTCCCACATGGCGCACAGACCTCTCCTGTCTCGCCCGCTGCTCCCCTCAGCAGTGTATTTCGTCAGTCTGCCTGCTCTGCTCCCTGCTCTGGCTCTGGTGAATTCTCCCACCCTCCCGCGCTTCTGACTGTACCCAGTGCTTGTATAAATAAATAAATAAATTAAAAAAAAAAGAAAGAAATCTGTCCCCATTAAAAAAAAAAAAAGAATTTACCCAGAATGTAGTACTAAAAAAGAGAAAGAGAAAGAAATGGAAAATAAGAAGGATTAAGAGACACGGGTGGCTGAGAATTTTTCATAATTGATAAAGATGCATCCTAAGATTCAAGAAGCACAAGTCACAATCAATAGGAATAGAAGTTAATTCACAGACACATACCGAAATGACAGACACAAAGGCAAAGTGAAAATCTTTAAAGCCTCTGGGGGGGAATGGGGATTTATTACCAGAAGAGGGAGAGGCTAGAAGACTCTGTAGTGAGAGACCATGATCATAGCAGTGTGGGTGTGTGGGGAAGCACTGGGTAACTGGATGGGTTGCTGGGGATCACTAACTGATCCCTAACTGAATTGTATTCAATCCCAGCTTCTCATTAAGAGGACTCAACTCCCAGGTTCTGGGGAGAAACTAGACATTCTCTCGGTTAACTAAAGCAGAGGGTGAGCATTGTTCTGGAACCTCAATAACTATTTGGTACACGAATGAACGGTAATAGTAACAAAACCTAGAGCAAAGCTTAGGCAGCCTCTGTGGTCAGTCTAGTCTTGTTCTCAGAGCACTTGTGTTTCAGTCATAATGTAAGAAAGCAATCTTTGCTTCCCAATGAAATTTGATAACAGAAGAAACCTAACAATTATAATTATTATTTCATTCTCGCCCTATCATATGAGCTAATGTTGCAAAACGCTGAAAAAAAAAAAAACAACAACGAAATTTTATCTGCTTTGTGTCCTCCAGTGTTAGGCTCAGCTGCAGTTCATCAGATCTTTCCACTCACCGACCCTGGTCTACATTAGTGAGACCACCCGGAGAAAGTGCTGTTCCAAAACAAATTTCTGTTTTCAAAAAAATAGGGTAACCCTCTCCCTGGTCTCAACGAAGGGGAGCAAATCAAAGAGTGAAGGCACTGCTGGACTGGCTTTGCGAAGAAACTGCATCATCATCATCATCAACAACAACAACAACAACAAAAGTTGTCTCTGGGCAAATCAGTAACTTCAAAGAAAAACAAACTTCAAGGTATACAGCATTGTTAAAATTATCAGTTCTGATAAATTAAAGCTCTAAATAGGTAGGGTAAGCTGCCACGACCCCCCTCCTTTTCCTCAATGCATAGACAACATCAAATAGATACATGTGAGCTACACCAGCCGGGACTTACTCTGCAAAAATTCTGAAAAATGGAAAATGTTTACCTTGCAGAATATAAAGTTCTCATCGTACGGCTCAGAATTCGGACACCATATTTCCCCCAGCTAAGAGCAGGCTGTTCCCAGGCTCAAGTCTTCAGTTTTGTCTTGATTCTTTGATAAATTCACTAAATTCACTTTTGCTTGACTCAATTTACCTCAGCGCAGTGAACTGGAGGTTGCCCCTTGGACTTTCCCAAGCTTTCTCTCTCCGCCCCTTACACCTGGAACCCTCCGAGGAACCCCCCACCCCTCCTTGGGCGGGGCCAACACCGGATCCCCACCCACTTACCCCTGCCCCCACCCACTCCACGGGACGGAAGAGGCGCCAACTGCGAGGGCGGCGTGGCGGCCTACCTGCGCCCCACGTGGCGAGCTTTAGGTCCCACCGATGTGCTCGGGCGCGTGGGGCGCAGTGTGGCTCCAGCCTGGATTTGAGAGGACTTGGGCTTTTGCCGCAAGTTCGGGGCCGCGGCAAAACTTGCGGCTGAGGACTTGCAGCCTCAGCGCGGTAGGTCCCCTCTCCTTCCTTCTTTGCCTTCTTTTCCGTTGCCTTCCTTTCCCCTAACCCTGCAGGGGGCTGGACTTGGGAGGCCTTTCTGGAAGGCAGCTGTGCTCACCACTATGCCACCAACGCTAGGGAGGCCTTTCCAGTCCTGAGCACCTTCCCCCAAGCTCCCGCCAGGGTGCGGATTGCCCCGGGCGCAGCCCTGGTCATGATGGCTGCCACCGCGGGATCAGCCTCCGGCAAGCTTTCCCGGCCGGTCGGGCAGCCCGGGCCTGCGGGTTAAGATCTGGCATTAAGGAGAGGCTGGTTGATCTGGGGAGCTGGAATTTTACCACTGCCTGAATTCGGTGCCCTTGCGTGGGTAGGAAGAGCCTCAAAGTAGAGCCTCTTGCCCTTGTTGGTGAGCCTGGAAGGGTTTCCCCGTGGCCAGAAGCTAATGTGATTAGTGCTGTAATGAACATGGGGATGCAAGTATTTTTTAAAATTAGTGTTCTGTTTTCTTCAGCTACATACCCGGAAGTGTGATTTTTGGTCCTATGGTAGTTCAATTTTTAATTTTTTGAGGAATGGAAAGTATTAGATCATTTGGTAGTTGACTTTTTAACTTTTTTAGGATCCCGCATCCTGCTTTCCATAATAGCTGCACCACTTTACACTCCCTCTACACCTTCTTACCAGTAGTTATTATTTCTTGCTTTTTGATAATAACCACTCCAACAGGTATGAGGTGATATCTGTTGGATTTTGATTTTCCCTGATGATTAATGAATGGTGTGAGCCTTTTCATGTACCTGTTGGCCAGTTTGTATGTCCTCTTTGGAAAAAAATATTCTGATATTCTTCCCATTTTCTTTTTCTTTTATTAATTTGTCAGTCATTTACATGTATATATAATGTTGGGGTTACATGCTTCACTCACCCTCCACCAAACCTCCCATGCCAGTGCCCTATCCCCTCCCTCTGCCTCCTTCTCACTCCCATCTGTTCCTTCTGGTAGCCAGTAAATTTTTCATGAAGATTACATGTTTTTGTTTATTTATATTCCACAGATAATTGACACCATCAGTAATCTGTCTTTTGCTTTCTGATTTATTTCACTTAGCATAATCACCTCAACGTCCCTCCATTTTGACCCAAAAGGTACTATTTCATATTCTATCTCCAGTTTCCAAGGTGTAAGTTTAGTTTACTTATTTGAGTTGTTTCTACTTTCTTGATATAGGTCTGCATTACTATATTTTTTCCTCTTAATACTGCTTTGGGTGTATGCCATGCTGGTGGTAGTTTGTCTTCATTTTCTTTTGTGTTTTCAGGTACTTTTTAATTTTGCTTTTGATTTCCTCATTAACCCAATAGTCATTCAGTATGCTGTTCACTTTCTACATATTTGAGGATTTTACCTCATTTTTGTGATTGATTTCTAGTTTCATAACATTGTGATACTTGATGTTATTTCTATCGTCATGAATCTGTTGATACTTGTTTTGTAGGTGAACGTGTGGTCTAGCATCAAGAATATTCCATGGGGACTTGAAAAGAATGTATACTTAGCTTTTGGGTAGTAAGGTACCCTGTAACTGTTTATTAAGCACATCTGGTCTAATTCCTTGTTTAAGATTGTTGTTTCCGTGTTGATTCTGTCTGGTTAATTTGTTCATTGAATTTAATAGGGTGTTAAAGAACCCTGTTACTACTGTATTGCTGTCAATGTCTATTTTGGGGTTTGTTAATAGCTTTATATATTTTGATGCTCCTTCATTTGGTATATATATTAAAGGTTTTATTTATTTGTTTTTGCGTAGAACTGGGGTGTAGGCCAGAGGTGCTGGAAGTAAGAAGATTCACCAGAGACACAGTGGGGAGTAGAACAGGCAGATCTACTGTAACGCATTGCTGAGGGGAGAGGTCTGCTGTGCCATTATGCGTCAGCTCCATGACCTGGGATCAAACTCAAGCAGTCAGAAGTGGTAGCACTGAGACTTAATCCCTAGGCCACCGGAGAGGCTGCTGGTATATATATATATTGATGAGTTATATGTCTTCCTGATGTGTGAATATATGATGTTCATCCAGTCCCTTGTTACAGTTTTTAGCTGAAAGTCTGTTTTATTTGATGTAAATACGAAAGCCCCTGAATTTTTCGAATCCTGTTTACCTAATGGATTGTTTCCAACCTCTGATATTGAGCCTTTGTTTATCTTTGGAATGCAGATGGGTCTCCTGGAGACAAAAGAATGTTGGGTTCTTTTTGATCCTTTATCTTTAACCGAAGTTATTTAAGGAGATGACTAAGCCAATTTAATGTGGTAAATGTTCTCACATTTACCAGGTTTCTCCCGAGTATACAGGAGGTATATATATTATTATTAAACTCTTTTTCTTGTTAATTTGATTATTTGCCAGCCTAAAAGAATCTAGAGGGGAATGGGGTATGACCTACCTCTCCCCTTTAGACTCATCTTATTTGGAACACTCTATTCTTGCTAGATCTGTGTGTCTATTTCCTTCTCCCAGATTAGGAAAGTTTTCAACCATTATTTCTTCAAAGAAGTTTTCTGCCTTTTTCTCTTCTTCTTTTGGGATCTCCATAATGCAAATGTTAGTCAACTTCCCATTATCCATTAAGTCCCTTAAGCTAGCTCCCCTTTTTCTTCATTTTTTTTTTCTTCCCTGAGTTACACTGCCTTGTTGTAAAGGTCCACTGATTCTTCTTTCTATTTTATCTAGTCTGCTATTGAACCCCTCTAATGTATTTTTCAGTTCAGTTATATTCTTCCTTAGCTCTATGACTTCTGTTTGGTACACTTGTATATTTCATCTTGACAGTCTCACTGTGTTTGTCTCCCAAGTTCAGTGAGCATCTTTATGACCAATATGTCAGACTCTTTATCAGTTAAATTACTTATCTCTGAGTCATTAAGGTTTTCATTCTGAGGTTTTACCTTGTTCTTTCATTTGGAACATATTTCCTCTGTTTTTTTTCCTTTTGATTGGCTATGTTGGTGTCTATGCAATAGATAAAACGGGCTACCGATCTTCCTGTCTTGAAGAAGTGGCCTTGAGTGGGAAAGGAGCTTTATTGTTGATCCTTCTGGCTCTCGGTTATCTCAAATCTTTGGGAGTCACTGGTATTGGATTTTCCATCACTGGTTGGGTAAAGAGTTACATATCATTTTCTTGAAAATGCTTTCTTTTCTCCTTAATGTGCAGTGTTGCAAAGAGTTCAAATTTCACTTAAAAAAAAAAAAACACCTCATTGGAAGGTATTGAAAGCTTTGTATTTTCCCTTTTTCACACATTTGCTGATGCTCAAATATTTTTGAAAGTTAATGTTATGTGGGAAAGATGCTGACTGAGACCATCTTATTTGCTGAGCAAAGGCCAAGGTTCTTACTCTCATAATCTCACATGATTTCTACCTCATTGCTGTGAGTGTAATGGTCTCAGTATGCTCTTTAGACCAGGGCTCACACTGAGACCTCCTGCTTGAGTTCCCAGGTGTCTTTCCAAACAAGGGGAACTGGTAATTTACCTGCAAACCAAGAAGCATGGGCTCCTTGGACTATTGCAGAGAACTATGGACTACAGACTTTGAGCCAGTGACTCCAGAAGATAATTTAGATCAAAGTCGGTTGATTAATTACAAAAGAACGTGGACACACTTAGTTGTATGTAACAAGATGGGCTAAAGGGTACTGCAGAACCTGTGACCAAGAAATTATTTAAGAGGATCAAAATTTAAAAAAAAAAAACCCTAAATATAATGCACTTTATAGACCTTTATTTTCAAAGCTAGTAAAAAATAGTAAATAACAGTTCTTTTCAAAGTAGGGGATATTCAATGCTAATCATTTTCTTCTTTAGAGTTTTCTATCATTTTTGCTTGTGTTTTGATGGTACACGGACCTTTACATGTTCATTAGAGTGTGACAAAAGTATATTGTTAAGGTGTTTAAAAATTGGAGAATCTAGTTCAAAGAATGGCATGAAAGGGGGGCTTTCTAGAAGTTAGGATTCCATGAAGCCCTAAATTGATCAGTTGAACTCTATCTCAGTGCAAACCTATTTTAGATAAGAGGGTAACAATAAAAGAGTGTATAGAATACTGGCAGACATTTGCACATTCTTCAGTGTGTGTGTGTGTGTGTGTTTCTTTTTATATTGAGCTCAGTGAAAAGGCTAGTGTTCTGTGTAGGTCTCAGTCTATGGATTGAAATGCAGTTAGCTAAAAGTGCCTGGAGTGTGGCACCTGGGTCCCAGTGAGCTCCCCACAGACATTTCCCATTTCCAAACGAGCGAGCGTTACCATTGGACCAACCCTTGTGATTGTTACTATGATTGCAAGATGACCTTCAGCCATAACCATCAGGAAACTTTGAAGAAAGTTTGTTACTTACAGATCCTAGAGCATACAAGGCATGCCTGGTGTCACACAGTGAGGTCACAGGTATGAGAACACAGACCTGGGGTTCTGCTTTTACTGCAATTGAGGGTAAGGCTCTGGGTTTCTTAGACTCATTTATTTGCAAATTTAATACAGAAGAGTAGGAATCTAAAGCACAAGAAGAAAGAAAAAGAAAGAAAAAATACAAGCAGCACAAATGGCTAGTTATCTAAATCAACCAGAACCCATAAAATGTGGTTGGGGGTGGGGGCAAAAAGGGGCCTGTAAGTCCTGAGTCTTTAGTTGCCTGACTGCAGACAGCCTGCGCTGAAGTGGATGCCTCAAGCTCCAATCAGGAACTTGCATTGCAATAACAAAAGGCAAATGTCAGCATTTATACTGCTACTTGGCAGGTGTATTCAAATTGTGACATCTCGTGATGGGCAAGTGGAATCCATAAGTGTATGTCTTTTGAAAACCCATTTGGCAAAATCTATCCCCAAATTGAAAGTACCTGAGAATTTTATTTTAATCTATTGCTTCTCTGAGAACATAGAAGAGAGTTATACTCACAGGTGAGCAGAGGAGTGTGTCCAAGGAGGTGTCATTCTGCCAGGGTTTGTAGCATTGAAAATGGGAAAGGGACTTAAAGGTAAATGGTAGAATAGCTTATCATTCCACAGTGGCAGGGGACATACCTTCCATGCCATAGAAAGGATAAAATGTTTGTCCACTCAAACTTGAGACCTTAAGGGAAGTGTGTTCTTTTTTGAGGGTGAAAAGCAGAACGATTTCCAAAGGATTTAAGTTCCACAAGTGTCATATAATATGAAACCAGAAAGATCCACAGGATGACACATATTCCTCTATGCTCTTGCACAGACTGAGACTTGACACCCACCCCATACCCACCCCATCCCTGCGTCAGAATTTTGTGTTCACTTGCATGAAGTATCTCGGTCAGACAGGCGTCCCAGGAACAAGTGCAAACGCCCCAATGAGAAAGCGTCCCTCTAGGCACTGGCGGGGGTAAAGCTCAGATTCTGTGCCCACACTCAGTCTGCAAGGTCTCAAGCAAACTTGGAATGCTAATGGTATAGCGATGGATCCGTTCAGCTCTACTGCTAGGGTGCTTCATTGGCGGAGACACTGCATTTTGGTCTAGAGAGAGTCAAAGAGAACCCGATGATGACAAGTCTGCAGGACAAAGCAAAACACTTTGTGGCACCATCCCCCAGAGTGACCGAGATGGCAGGAGATGGCAGGCGACCAAATCTGGGCTAGATAGGACATAGGTCTGCATGGGTGGTTTTTTTCCTCAACGAAAGGCGGAGGGAGAATTGTGAAGCGAAGCATCTTGGCATTTCTTGAACAATACTGCCATCAAGCGGAATACGGCTGCCAACCCTGTTAATATCATTCTTCGGAGAAGAGGCAAATGAATGAAGTCCTGGACTAAGAAGGCCCAAAACTAAGAGGCACAGGGAACGGGAGCAGAGGAAAGATGGACCATGGCCGTTTCTGGCCCTGGAAGCGCCATAGGCAGGCTTTTGGGCTAGGCGCACTGCACAGGTGCCTGGCAGGTCAGCTGGGAAAGCTAAAACTCCAGGCCCTGGCGGCCGCCATGATTGGGCGGGACTAGTCGGAGCTCTGAAGCCACCCACGGAGGGGGCTACGGACACTTGTCTCTGCCCCTCTTACCTCAGAGCAGGAGGCAGCCTGCTTAGTTGGACCCAGGGCTATGGAAATATATCTTGGTCATGTACAGCTTAGAAAAACGCGAGGCCGCTGGCACTCTGCCGCCATCAGTGGCTATAGAGGCCGGCCAGAGACGTGGCGGTGTTAGCAAAAGGCTTGGGCCTACAAACTGGACATCCTTTTCTGGGTTCCCCATGTTCCTGGGAACTTATGGGCCCTACTGAGCAATTTCGCTTTTACACTGAGGGCCGGGACCTACCGGTCAGATGTCTAGTGCAGCTTTAGCGCCTTCTTAGGGAACATGGCGGCTCCCGAGGCCACGCCCTATAGGTTGGAAACCCGGATGGCCTGTGTCCACGCTCGTGGTGGGGAAGGTGGGATCCCTATGCCCGGTATCTCTTCCACATCGACTCTGGAGTTCCCTCGTAGCTCATCCAGGTCACAGATCCTCTGTTTACTAATCCAACTCTTCCTTTTTCCCATTCACTGCTTTCCCCAACTGATCCAAGCGCGGGTTAGCATCCATGCTCAACAGTGATCCGCATGATGGCACTGTTGAGCCAGATATGTGGTCACCCTGTGTCCGTGACTCTTCCCTCCGCCTTTTGCGGTTTAAAAAAGGAACAGGGACATTACTTTCCAACGGTTTTGTCTTTCCTGGCAACATAGAAAAAAATGTTGGTGACAACTTCAAATTGCTCTGCTGTTCCTGCACCTGCAAAGAAAACACCTATTAAGAAGTAAGCAAAGAAAACTGGTACAGATGTGGGAGAGCCAACGTCTCAGTGTCTCCTGTGTCCGAGCTCCTCACTAAAACTGGCTGCTTCCAAGGAGCACAGTGCAGTATCCCTCTCAAGAAGGCACTACTGGCTGCTAGCTATGATATAGAGAAAAATATGCCACCTCAAGTTGAGCTCAAAATCACGAACAAGGGCACCATGGAGCAAAGCAAGGGCACCATGGAGCAAAGCAAGGGCACCAGCACATGGGATTCCTTCAAACTGAAGGTTGCCTCTGGGAAGCAAAGCCGGTGGTCAAGAAGGTGGGCATAGGTAAGTCCAATGGGTGACAGGCACCCAAAAAAAGGCAACTCCAGTGACTCCCAGAAGTTACAAGGTGTATGTATATGAAGTCCACCTCAGGAACCTATACACGACTGGGTATTTCACACATCGCTTTTTATCTCATAGGAATTGTCGAGAAACTGGTGCTGGATCAGGTGTGTGGACAGTTTTGGGTTTCTGGAGAGGCACTCTGATACCTCGTGATTGATAGTGTCAACGTCTTCCACACCTGAATCCCCAGTACCCCACGGAAGAAGATCCACGTCCACAAGGAACATCTGTCATCTTGCTAGAGCAAGATGTACTACAGGGCCTCCCTGGTGGCGCAAGGGGTTAAGCACCGCACTATGAAGTAATCCACAGCCTCTGTAGCACGAGTTAGATCCCCAGGCCAGCCAGGAAGCTACCCACATGGCACAGCAGACCTCTCCTGACTTGCCCGCTGCTCCCCTCAGCAGTGTATTTCTTCAATCTGCCTGTTCTGCTCCCTACTCTGTCTCTGGTGAGTCCTCTCACCCCCTTGCATCTCTGGCCTGTACCCCAGCTCTTGTATGCATAAATAAATAAATCTTAAAAAAAAAAAAAAGACTACATACACCACCTCCCCCTCTTGCCTTTGGGCTGCTGCAAAATTTTGTGTTCTTGCTTGAAACTTCTCTGTTAAGCTCTACTCTTGGTTACTCTTGAGAATACCCGGATGTGAATGTACCCCACCAGGCACTGGTTGGAGTGGCTTGGACTGTTGGCCCACACTCAACATGTCTGAAGATATAGGCAAACGTGGAGTGCTAAAGGTGCTGGTGGACAGTTTCTGGCGCTCTGGTAGGATGCCTTTATGAAAATGAGGCGCACACCCCAAAGTGGCAAAAAAAAAAAGGAGGGGGGAGCCACTTTGGTTGGATAGACATACAATTATTTTTTTTCCTAAACAAGAAAGGATCCTGTGGGGGTGGCGTAGGGAAAAGCTGGCATTTCTGCGGCAATACTGCCATCAAGTGGAACAATTTGCGAATCCAGTGAACAATGCACTGAGCTTCCCGGGGAACACTGAAAAGGGAATGAAACCAGAGACAAACGAGACAGTTTCTCTAGAATGTACAGTTTATCTTTAATAATAGAGGAGCAGCGGGGGAAATGTGGGCCAATGCCAGAACGGACCTGGAAGCTCCAGAGACAGCAGCCCGGGTCGGACATGCCTGGTACAACGCCCAGGGAAAGCCAAGTGCCGCGAACCTGGAGTGTCCGAGCGGGACTACGGAAGCTGTAATAACGGAGCGCGGAGAGGGTTTGCGTGCGGTTTCACTTAGAGCTTGAGGATCCACAACAGCCCGGGTCAGAACCTCGAACCCTCATGGCTATTGTGAACCCAGCAAAAGAATACTAGTGTCATTGGCGTTATTCTGACATTGGTGACCTTAGAGACGACCCCGGAGAAAGGCATGGTAGTCAGGACTCGGATCTGGACTTGCTGACCCCATGATTCTGAGAACTGAGGGACCACACTGGGCATTCATTCAGAATAAATGCCTCCTGCTATGCAAAGGCAAGAATCCAGGGACCGAAAACATAACTGGAGCTTCAGAACATGGCGGCTGCCCAGCCACACCCACACAAGTCTCTGAGCCTTTGTTAGGTGGCTCCTTTGTAAGCATGCAGGGATCCTTACTCCACAAGCTACTTCCACACCAACTCTGGAGAGGCCCATAAAGGATGGGTCCTTTTGAGGGCTCCTAACCCAGGCTGCCTAGTCCGATACAATCCTTTGCACCGGATCCATAGGCAGGGGCCAGAGGCAATGGTGGAAAAGATTCCGCTTGATGGCACTGTTGCTTCAGAAATAGCAACTCTGTGGTGTGACGCGCTCCTTCCTCCTCCCTTCGTGGATCAAAAAATGCCCAGAGAGGCCCAGAAGCTGTCCAGACTCTAAAAGATGGATCATGGGTGTTGGAAGAAGTGGTTTCCTTCTTTTTGGGGATTCTTGTTGGGTTTAGCAATGTACGGATAAAGACATAAGGAATAAATGCATCTTTAGCTCTTAATCCTCATCTTTCTAGAAATTTGAAGACTACATTTTCTGAGGGCAGCATCCCTGTTTTCTGTGCACAGTATGGAGAGGTCTCTGTATCTTTTCTCCTAAGGCAAAATTCTAGTTTTCCTGGGACTTTGATTCATACCTACAGGTGGCTGGAGTAGCTACATTTCCTCTGTCCCCCTTGGTCTTGCATTTGCTGTGCTCCTGCAAATTTGTCATCTACCTTGAGGCATCCCGTACAGGCCGGAGAATAAAACTTCTAGGCAGCAAGAGGGTCTGGCAGGAGCAGGGGAGAAATGGGGAGATGGATCATCTGGGCCCACCTTAGGTCTTACGCAGTCACTTAGCCATTAAATGTCCCTGGTCGGTTGTGTATGTGTCTTGACAGTGATATGTGCAGTGAACAGTTGATCATAGTTACAGTGGCCTATTTGTAGATAAATAAATTTCCTTTCTCCTGGATTTTCCTCCATAACTATGCTGGAGACACCACTGGATATACATATTTACAGTTCAATGCAAAAGCCATTTCTGTTTCATGGCAAGCATTTCCAAACACACTCTGCCTTCCAACCCCCTCCCCGCAGAGGGAACCATATGTAATTTTTCCTCATTTTTAAGTTTCCAGGGTTAAACGCAAAAGAAAGACAATAGACACAGCAGCCCCTGTATGTGTTACCATCTCTTGGCCCAACAAGGCTCTCTTAATGACATGTCTTTTGCATTCACTGGATCTCACAGCAGGTAGGGCTCTTGGCCTGGGCACATCTGTGCAGAATAAATGACCTGCCCTGTAGACATCCTCCATTTCTCTTCTGACAGCACCCAGCTGTCAGTATGCCCAAGTACCATATTTAACAAGTCCTTATCTTTGGACACTGGGTTTGTCTTTCTTCCCTCTTCTGCCTTCCACAGAACTGGCTATGTAGAGAGCTATACAGAGTTGTAATTATTCCAAGTGTGCATCACCAGGGTACCTTTTCCAGCATGTGATTCCAAACAGAAGAAAGTGGTTGGGTTGATTCTAACTCAGCTACATCCTAAAGTAATCTTTACTCCTGGAAACCAATGTGATAGATCTGTGTGCTGTTAGAGAAGAAATAGCTAGTACAGCTATTAAATGATCACTGGGCAGTGAGAGTATGTCACTCCATTAGGGGGAGGACATGGCCTTTCCACAATATCCATTTTATCCTGATGTAGTCATGTAAGTGCAGAGTGGAGTAGGAAATTTCTGCACTATCAATGCCAAGGTGATGGCTGTAGTTTCCATGATAAAGGCATGTGGGGGAAGGTATCTTCAGGTTTCAACGGAGACATCCCGGTATGAGTTGCTTTATGCTCTCCTTCACTGCCATCTGTGCAATTCCTAAAACATGAGTGAAAGTACTTAGCACATGGTGCTTTATTCAGAAGCTCGGGGTGAACTGAGACCTGGTATAAATAGTAACCTCATATATACGTGATATTGCCTGGGCTGTGAAGGGTGGAGTGGGGAGTGGTGGAGCATATGACCCCTGCTAACCAGCACTGTTGCTGTTTCCACACTGAATGAATGGCCTTCCGCTCTCTCATTGCAGAGGTGACAGAGTGGAAGGAAATGACAAGAAGTGAAAACAAGGACACTGATCATCGCTAGGCCCTAATGTTCTGGTGAGTACGCTTTGTTCTGTTCTTTTTTCCAAATCAGTGCATTTCATCACAGGCAGAGGTAGTGATACTGGCATTACGGCGAGCCTCAGGAAGCAAGAATCACCCACGGTAGGTTCATGGCATGGGGACAATGGTGTGTCCTTTGGAAATTTTCAACCACAGTAGAAAAGGTTCTGGAGTCAGATCCTGATGTGGAGTCAGAAATAAGTAGCTGTATTTTAGTCAATCTACCTGTTCTGCTACCCACTTTCTGGTGAATCCTCTCACCCCCTGCACCTCTGGCCTGTACCCAGTTCTTATATGCATAAATAAATCTTTGAAAAATAAAGAAATAAGTAGCTGCATGGTCAAGCTGCATATATTATTTGGCGGGGGGAGCAGGGGTGGGAGTCAGTTCATGTCAGTGACCTACAGGACCAAAGAAGAAACAGATTGGGCTCAGGCCTAGTATCAGACCTGCACCTGTTTTGTATCTTGGCCCCTGGGAAGCCATTTTCCAGTGACAGCACCATTCAGCTCCCACCTCACCACATAATGCAGCTGTTCCAGTCCCAGGCAGGGAAATGGGTTTGGAGAGCCAGGCCTATAAGAACTTTGCCTCCTTTGCTTTTTGTGGAGCCCTCCAAACCTGTTCCTCCATCATCTCCTGATTGCTCTTGAACTCAGTTCACTGCACATGGCCTTCCAGCAGGCCAGGGAGAACTTGGGAACATGTTCTTGCTGGAATTGTTATAGAGCAACCCCAATATTAACAAAGCCTATATGGAATTAGCTTTGGGACATCCTTTTTCCCCTAACAGAATGACAAAAAAGGATCTGTGGTCATAATTACTTGGGCATTTGGGGGTTGGTTAGAATGCATTGGGTCAGCCTGCTGCTGATATTTTTGTGCTCCCCAAATGTGTCTCTTGACAAAGTGAGACCAACTTGAGAGTGTGAAGGCACAAGAAGGTGTACTTTCCTTTTACTTGGTACAAATTTAGCATCACCATTTGACTGAAATCCTGACATGTTTATATGGTTTTCTTCCATGTTTTTCCTCTTGTCTCTTCTTGAAGGTTTCTTGCCATGAGGAGGATGCATCCAACCCCAGCTCAAAATAATTGAAGAGTTGTCCAGAGGGGAAGTAACCCTGTGCGCTCTGATTTAACCCATTCAAAAGCTAGTCCCTGTTTGTAGTTAGCAAAGGGCAGAAGTGGGCTCACACAGCAAGGACAAGCTGTCATTTCTGTGGGAACTCTGCCTTCAATTGGGCACTTTTTGATAACCCCAAGAGGACTTTGTGACGGAATCATTGGGAGGCCTATGCATTGGTGCAAAGCCTCTTTTTAGGTGGTGGGCAGGAAGAAGAAAGACACTTCCTGCCCAACCTGAAAGAATAATTTGACCTTGACATCCCTCCCTGTCCAGCTGGCTTTTCACATAAAACCAAAGTAGATGAAATTATTTCCCTGTCCTTAGGAGTGGGACCCTTAAACAGTGTATCGCGCAACTCCTGTCCTAATTGTAAGTGATCCAGAGCTGGTGGTCATCCCAGAATTGAGGTTCCAGGTTTCTTGCAAGCATGAGTCTGTGAGGAAACCCATACAATCTGTCTGTGCGTAACAGTGGGTGCTATAGGAACACGTACAGAGCAAGGATGTGGGGTATATAAGGATCGGGGGGGTATGTACAAGAATGAGCTGTGCCCCACACAAGAGGATGGACTAGCCATGAGGATCTGGCTTTTCTCCCATGGGGTGCTGGGGGTTTCAGCATGGACAGTGGCAGAAACAGATGAATTGGAAAGCATCTGGGTACTGTCCCAAAGATCTAGAACTGTTTACGTGCCTGGCCCGGTGTCATTCTTTTAATAATTCCCTCTAAGGAAAGACAAGTGAGAAATTCCCAGAAGCATATAGGCTCCCAAGGTGGGCACCTGGGAGCCACTGGAGTTGCCTTTTCATTTTTTAACCCAAAATGTGGTGTACATAACTGGCCTCTCTGTGTTCCTATCTTCTGATTTGGGCTGAGGCAAGGGCAGTCACCACTACTGCGGGTATTCCACTAAAGGAACACCCCAGATGCCAAGTGATCTTGACACAAGGTCATGGAAAGAGAAGTGATCTACTTCTGCCCCTATAAACTTTGCACCCAACCATAACAGCCCCTTGGAAAGAAAAGGAAACTGTTAACTTGATTCTCTGCCTTTATAGAGCTTTGTCCAACTTCACATTCATATCTTTGATTCTGCAAATGCTGTGCATCTAGGCATTGGCAAAACTTAAAAGCAAATCTAAGTTGTATGAAGAGCCTCCTGCTGGGCTGGGGCTGTGTGGACTCTGGAGGTCTCAGCAAACCTGGAACTAAAGTTACAGGTGCATAGTTTCATATGCTATCATACGATGTCTAGATGAAGACAAGGTCTTGAAGGATGAAGTGTCAGCCTTTGGAGTGCACACCCCAAGTGGAAAAGGTGGTGAGCCTCTTTGTGTTAGCAAGGTCCAACATGTATTGATATTTTTTTCTAAGCAAAGGGCAGAGAGAGGACCCTGTGGGGGTGGGGCAGGGAAAGGCCAGGTTGGCATTTCTGCAGTAATACTGCCATCAAGCGGAACAATTTTGCAAATCCAGTGACCAGTGTGCTTTGCTTCCTGGGGAGGAATGACGTTAGAAACTGGAGTCCAATTCTCTAGATTGCAGTTTAACCTGGGCTGGAGAGGGGTAGTAGGGCAACATGGACCAAGGCCCAAATAAACCTGGACAAGAACCTGGGCTAGGTGTCCCTGGTATGACTAACAGGAAAACCAAGGATTGGGATCCTGGTGGCCGCCATGTCTGGGCGGGACTTTGGTACCCGCAATGGTGGACCACTGACAGGGGTTGTGGGCATTTAAAACAGAGACGCTTTTAGTCATATCTGGAATTTTATTGGACTGGCTGGATAGGGAAGTACCAGATTCTATGGCAAAAGAACACAGGCAGGTAAGGGGGTGGAGGGCTTGAAAAGAAGGTCTGGAGACATAGCATAGTAGCCTGGCTTAGAGCCTTCATCCCTTCATCATGGCTTGCGTCCTGTGTTCCCTGTGACACTGAGAAACCAGGGACCTCATTGGCCTTCCTGATTCTTGTACTTAGTACAAGGAAACAGGGGCCACTGGAATAAAAGCCTCCACTGCGTCTAGAAAATGGCTGCTCACAGGCCATTCCCTCATAGCCTCTGAGCCTAATAGGCCTTGCATCAGGTAGCTCCTTTGAGGGCCAGCCAGGGTGACTTCTCTGTTACTTCCAGATGAGAAGTCTGGTGCCTGGGCCCTCTGAGTTCTCCAAACCCACCCTCCTGAACTCTCACTACAAGCCTTTACCAAGATCCACACACAGGGGCTAGAAGCTACAGTGAAAAAGATTCCGCTTGATGGCACTGTTGCTCCATAAATGTCAACTACCTTCGCGTCTGGGCCTCTCCCTCCACCCTTTGTGGATCAAAAAACAATGGCCGGTGAGGCCCAGAAGCTTTTCCATGAGATTGGATCAAAGATATCAAAAGGAATAAATGCATCTTTGGTACTATCTCCTCATCTCTTTATGAATTTGAAGTCTTCATATCCTGGGGATAGTGTCCTTGTTTTCTGTAAATGCTTGTGGATGGATATCCAAAGTGGTTTTCTGGGGTCTACATAGAACACCTCAGCTCCTTTGCTTTTGGCTTCACTGGGGCCAAGACCACGTGCCTCCAGTTGCTGCTCTCCCCTTCCCTGACTCTTCATTTGGGCTGCTATTTCTGCCCCCCTCCACCCCCCCCCCCACTACAAAGGAAGTCAACAGTCATACCCTAACACCATGCCATACTTGTATATAGCTATGTACTTACTTGCATATAATGCCACTGGTTAGAAAGAAGATGCCAAAAACATCTATTGAAGTTTTACTTTTGAATCAGTTGATTCTTTTGAATCAGAAGAATTAAGCCATGGAGTTCAAGAACCACACTTGGAATTCAGTTTTATGCATTTGATAATGTGCATATATGGGATACCATTTAGTTGAGGTAAAGGAATTGGTGGTAAGGAATAATTCCTGCAGGTAGAGGTGGTGCTGGCAGAGGTGGAAATGGGGATGGTCTCCCGCCTGCCTATGGATGCAGTGGAGAAAATCCTGGTAGTTATGAACAACTCCCAAGCCCGTGCTCCTGTAATAAAAATAATTGAATGTTTAAATGCTGGAATACAGTCAATGGATGTGGGATTTTACACTGCTTATTAACATTCAGGGACTTAACTGTACATGCAAAAGATTTATGTAGATATTTGATGGGCATTTTAAAACTATTAAAAACTAATGGAATTCTTTCCCACATGAAAATGACACGTTTTTGGAAAATCATATCTGTTAAGTTCTTTAAACTAAAACATGTAATTTTAGTTAATTCAAGCAATCTTTTGATCACATTTTGCTTATATCTGACAAGATAATTTTCTACTTTCAGATTCACTGTGACAGGACAAAGGTCTGTATGGCGTGTCATTACCTGGGTTTGATGTCACTGGAGTTCTCTTCCAACGTCTTTGAATTTTTAAGCCTTTTTGGCAGTTCGACTTGAGCTTAAAGTTGGGTGCTGAATTCTTCAATTATCTTCAGTGATCACTACTATAAATGTATAGCTTCAGGTAGCTTTAAATAATTAAATGTAGCATTTCTTTCTTCTGTTGAAGTCTCAGAGATTAAAAGAATTCTTGATCATTTTTGTGACAATTAAAGACCCAAGTGGAGATGTAGGAGTGGGGCTGGTGGTCGTAGTGTAACAAGATGACATGTTATTTCCCTAAAACACACACAAAAGTTCACTTCTGGAAAATAAAAACAAAACAAACGATAGGACCAAATAGTTTTTCTTCATATATCACACACACTTGTTGTTTTACAATTTAAAATTGTATCTTAGAAGTTAAAATTTTCTAGTGTTTTGTGCCACACATGTAAGTATAATCAATTAGAAAATGAACCCTAAAAATAAGCCACCAACACCAAATACGAGTGAAGATGTAGAGCAACAGGAAGTCTCATTCCTTGCTGGTGGTAATGCAGTTTAGAAAATAGTCTGGCAAAGCTGTCCGCAGCGGCCGGCCGGCAAGGGTCCCATATGGTGCAGCAGACCTCTCCTGCCTCGCCCGCTGCTCCCCTCAGTCTGCCTGTTCTTTTCCCCACTCTGTCTCTGGTGAATCCTCTCACCCTCCCGCGCATCTGGCCTGTACCCCGGTTCTTGTATAAAAATAAATAAATAAATCTTTTTAAAAAAGAGAGAGAGAAGAAAAGAAAATAGTCTGGTACTTTCATTCAAAAGGAAACATACTCTTACCCCAAGATCCAACAATCATGCTTACTGGTATTTACCCAGAGAAGTTGAAAATAGGTCTTTGAGTTTTAAATGAGTTCAAGGGTGTTGGAACTTACCAAATAAGTTGTCATTTTCAGTGGTACAGAGAAAACTGTACTCTCATGATGATCATCGTGAACAGTTCTAGATCCCAAGGATACGTAGACACAGGGCCTGGCCAGGTATTAATAGAGAAAGTACAGTGAGAAACCGGCCTTGAGAAGGGAGCTTACTGTACAGAAGAGGGTAAACACAAAGTATTTACCTATCAGAAGTATGAAACAAGTTTAGGGTCTTCATCTATACTGAAGCTGTAGATCACACTCTAATTTTCTTACAAAACTGTGACCTGAGAAGGAAAAAAAAAAGTATCATTAATACCTTTGTCATAATAAAAATCAATTCCCCTAGATATGGCTTCAACATAAAGAAAAATCAGTCACTTTCTAGCTCTGTAAAAGAAACCCAACCCTTCCAGCCATCACACCAGTAGGAGAAATAGGCCTAAGCACTTGATACTGTAAGCCCATTGTGACATCATCAACTGTGACCACGTAGTGACTTCAGTGTAATCTGCTGGGATTCAGACTTGCCCTCACCAGGCCCTCTTCCTGTTTCATTTTGCTGCACATCATTGATGTTGGTATGTACGTTTCTTTTACTGATTTTATATTTGTTTCCCTAGAACTTAAGCCTCTGTACAAGCAGGGATATTTTTGAGTCTTATGTGGCTGTTTCCAACAATAACAGTGTCTGGCGTATAGTATGTGCTGAATAAATGTTGAATGTAATAATGAAATTCACCTTTGATCACCAGGTTAATTCTGTTCCTACAGATGACCCTGTTAACTATCTGGTGTGCATTTTTCAGCATTTTCTTACACATACATTCTCATGTGAGGACCTGCTGAAAATAGATACTGAATTCTACTAAATTCTTGACTATTTCGACAACATATTAAACAGAATCACCTGTCTCTATTCCCAAATGGAACCACAACCAATTACAGCTCTATAAATATAACCAAAATAAACTAGTTTTGATATTTTCCCTCATTATTTCTCAGATACTCAAAACAGGTTTCATCAGTTTTCCTACTTCTGTTAGTTCTTGGTTTTCTTTAGCACAAAATAATCTATCTGCCAAAGTGGCATATTTAAGGAGGCATGTTCTAAGCCCATTCAGACATTTTAAACATTAACATTTAAAGTTAAAAGACATTATATATATAACAATAAAGATGAAAACTATATTTTCAGTGTTGTAATTTTTGTTTTGTTTTATGCTTTTATTGAGCTAAAGTGAGTTTATATCATTGTATTTCTTCCCTCAGCCTCCCCTTCTCCCAGGCAGCCACCATGGCCTTTTTCATATGATGAAATATACTAATTTTGGGCCTCCCTGGTGGTGCAAGAGGTTAAGTCTCAGCACTATGAAGCTATTCGCAGCCTCTGCAGCATAAGTTTGATCCCCGGCCAGGGAGCTAGTCCGCATGGCGCAGCAGACCTCTCCTGTCTTGCCCGCTGCTCCCCTCAGCAGTGTATTTCAGTAGATCTGCCTGTTCTGTTCCCCACTCTGTCTCTGGTGAATCCTCCACCCCTGCACCTCTGGCCTATGCCCCAGCTCTTGTATGTAATAAATAAATAAAAAGTAAATCTTTAAAAAAAGAAGAAGAAGAAATATATTCATTGGGAAAAGTAGGAGGAAGAAAAAGAGCTTCAATTCGCCAGAGCATTAGTGTCTGCAGATAATCTGTATCACAATTTTACTTTCTTTTTGCTTCCTTCCACTCCATGTCCTCTGTAAGACTGAGCACAGAGTCCTAAATTCAGTGTGGGACTGAAATACTGCTGGTTAACAGGGGAACAAGGTCTTGGCCCTCATAGCTCCCCCACTGCCCTCTCCATGCATCAAGTGTTGGCAGTTACTGTACATGGCAGCTCTCCAGTCAACCCAAATTTCTGAATAAAGCACAATGTGAAAAGCAATTCCTTGTCCCTCTTAGAAGCTACACAGATGTCATGAGTATGTTATAAAGCAGCAGCTGTACAGAATCATTTCCAGTGAAATCTGAAGATACCTTCTGTCAAAATCTCTTCCTTTGGAACCACAGACATGACCATGGCATTGATACTCCCAAGATCCATACTGTCGCTGTACCTGTGTGACTAAGGCAGGGTAGCAGTGGGTATCACAGCAAGCCTGTGTCCCCCACCAAAATGGTGTAACAACACTTAACTGAACAGCAGTTTCTTTCACTCACTGGTATATGGGCAATAAGTTTTGAGGTGCAGGGACACACCACACTGACTTTCTGGGACTCGTAGCATTTGTTCTAGGATGTGACTGATATACCAGTTCACCCAAATGACCATGACTGGAGAAAGTGTACCTTGTCACACAAACTCCTATTTGGTAACAACTATAACACTGTCAGTTCTGTCAGAGATAGAAGAGGAAAGCAAGGAGATACCTTATATCCAAAATGAAGGGATAATGTTAAATAACCTACGTCCAAGTCCTCAGGCAGACACAGTACACCCCACCCGTGGGAGATTCAAAGGAAACCAACAAGATCTGGCTTGAAAGAATGTTTAGCTGAAGATGCACCAAGCCCAGTGCCAAATATGCCGGAAGAGCATCCACTGCAAAAGTGTCTGGTAGGAGAGGCTTGTAAGGACAGAAAGCAGGAAAAAATGTAGAGGTCTCCGCACCAGGGGGAAAAGGATCCAAAACCACGTGGAAAGCTGTTTTGGCTTCTAGGTTTCCAAAGGCATTTTTAGATCCACAAAGGGCGGAGGAAGAGCCCATGCACCAGCGAGTGGGGGACATGCGTGAAGCAACAGTGCCATCAAGCGGAAGCTTTTTGAGGATTGCCCACATTCATTCTAGGTTGATCTGACCGGAAGGTCAGTAAAGAGAGGAAGGAAAGCTTGATTCCAGCAATAAAAAAGATTTCCAGGGCCCTCCCTAGTGGCGTAGGGGTTAAGTCTCAGCACTATCAAGCTATCGCCAGCCACTTCGGCATGAGGTCAATCCCCTGCCAGAGAGCTAACTAACCTACTTGACGCAGCAGACAGACCTCTCCTGTTTCAACCGCTGCGCCCTTCAGCAGTGTGTTTCAGGCAATCCACCTGTTCTGCTCCCCTCTCTATCTCTGGTGAATCCTCTCAAACTGCCCCTCCCCCACCCTGCCCAAGCCTCGCACCTCTGGCCTACACCCTAGCTCTTGTATGCATAAATTTAAAAAAAAAAGAAAATCTTTAAATAAACAAATAATAAATTTCCACCTGGAGTGAGCAATGGGCACCTTCCAGAGTCAGCATGAAAGCAACCATTGTGACAAGGGGACAGGATTGCCCACCAAGGAGGTGCGGCCTCAGCAGCAGCCATGTGAGGAAAAAAGTAGCTGAAACTCCTGTTCCCAGGCTTGAGTTCAAGACCCATTTTGCGGCTCTGGACCCAGCCAACAAGATGAGTAAAATGGACGCAGCAACCGCCCTGTCAGAACCATCGTTTTCCAGACTGGATAGGGAATTTTCTGATGACTTATTACCAGACTCAGACAGGAAAGAGCAACGCAAGCGCACTGCAGGTTAGAGCCTGCAGTTGCGTTCTCTTCACTTTTGCTTGTGTCAAAGAGAGCAAGTCCCAGGCCCCACAGAGCCCCTTTAGGTCCTCCTAGCCCCATCCGGTACTTTTTGCTCCATGTGACCAAGGAAGTCCACACACACTCGGGATCTGATCCAAAGTAAGGGGTCAGTCCCCAAGATGGAGGACGTCATCCTCTGGACTGGCTGGATCGTGCCCTGTTTTCCCCATGTCTCATCAGAACACAGCAGCCTGAGGATACCCTATTCTGGGGCTTCATACACTTGAAGATCAGCATCTCTGATTGGGGAGACACTGCTATTTCTGCCACAGAGTCCAAGTTCTGTGGGTGCTGTCATTGCAGAGATGGGCACACTGAGACCACCTTGGGTGGGAAACAATCAGAACCTGCTGGTCAGTATTTTGACTCTGGGAGAGCAGAAAAAGTTGGTCCCTAAAGTTTCAACTCCCACAAGACCTTGGTGATTAATCTGGCAACTCATAAGTAGGAAAAGAAGGGTCAGGGAACACTTTCTGACACTTTCAAGAGGGGTTAAAACAAAGGTTCTGCGTGGAGGAGCTGAGCTGGGAGACTTGTTCCTAGATCTTCCCTCTTCCCTCTAACCCTCCACCAACTGACACAAGGTCAGGTAGGACCTAAGCAAATCACCAGAAACCCAGAGATTCTTCCAGAAGTCAGCTATTGGTCATATAGGTAGGTCTCAGTACAAGGTCTGCAAGTCCAGGACTGCGAGCCTCCTTCTAGCAGACATGCTTGATTGGCAGCTATGTTGAGGAAAAGAGGCCACGATCCAACAGTGCTCACTTCTTTGGGCAAGCTCTCCACACTGGAAGACCAGCTGAGGCCGGCATGGGGTTAAGAGGCAGAAGCCAGGGCCATAGCTGCTTAATAATACTCAGAGAGGGCTCTGCAAAAGTTTGCAATGCCTTCTGGGACGGTACCATGACTGTCAGGCACTTTTCCTTTAGCCACATGTTTGAACAGAGGGAACGAGAAACAGGAGGATGAAGAGTGCCATTGTAGCTTTCTACTGGGCACGTTCTGGTGAGGGTGAGGGCATTCCCTGGGGACTTCACAAGGGGAAACCACATATTCCATAACTTCACTGCCCTCCTGTCCTTGCCATCATTTAGCAATACCCTAAGGTCCCTGGATACCAGTAGCCAGGTTCACACCTGACCCCCAGATCTCAAAACAAAGACAATTCAGGTTCTGACTCTTTCACTGACACTAATGGCAGCCGCCCTCTGGTGCCTGCAGTGGTCTTTCACAGGGCTTCACCGTGCCCAACAGAGGCTCACAGAGCCATGCACCCTGAGACTAAACTTGCACTTGTTCCCAGGAAAAGGGAGCCAAATGCCCACTGCTCTTGACAGGCTCTTCCTGAGCGGCTTTCACTAGTCTAGACAAAACATGGCGGCCACCAGTGTCCCTGTCACAGCTTCCCGTGCCTGATCTTTCAGGCACCCAGGCTTTCTGCTTTATCCTAGTCTATCTCTGGAGGTTCCTGGACCCAAGGTGGCTTAGAGGCTGATTTTCTAGTGCCCAGTAAAGCTGTAGACTCTGGCAGGAGAGGGTGGTGGAAGAAGGACCTGTCCTTTGCCCATTTTGAGGCTCTGCTTTCACCGCCATTTGCATCCTGTAGCAGAACACAGCGCAGGGCTCACAGGCTCTGTGAACACATTCCGCTTGATGGCAGTATTGCACAAGCAATGCCAGACCGCCCTGCCCCATGGTCTCACCCTCCGCCCTTTGCTGAGGAAAAAAATGCTAACCCACAACAACCTGGCTCAAACATGGCGGCTCACCAACATCCCCAACGTGGGAGAGCACAACCATTTCAAGGCCTTCTGGGAGCTAAATTTGCTTCCTTTTGAGTTCTCTTAGCCTGCCTGCATAAGCAAAAGGCCCCTGGCAGTGGACATGACCCCCTGAGTAGCTCTCACATGATCATCAATGACTGCAGAAATCTCAGGAGACACTGGTATGAGCACAGGGTACACCCTCACCACTGTCAGTTCCAGGTAAGCATTCTCTCACTGGTGGAATCCCCCAAGTCAACAAAGAGGTCAGCCAACCTGCAAGGCCTCAAGCAACAGGACACTAAAGGCAGTGGTGGATCACAGGCATCAGGAGCGGTGTCAGAAATGAGCTGAACCTCCCATTCTAAGCTGACATTAGCCCTGAGAACCTGGCTCCTCATGTTACGGGGAAAAGGATGTCCTAAAGCTAATTCCATACAGGCTTTGTGGACTCCACCCCTACTCCAGACCAAAGCCATCAGGACATTGGGAAAGACAAATCCCATCACCATCAAAGGGAAGGTGGCTGGAACCTGAGGGTGGGGTTAAGCAGCCAGGTTTGGTATAAAACCAGACACGTGGGCTTTGGGGGGGGGGTCCCCCTTTTTGGCTCTCCGCCAGCTCGCAGAGTGCCATTGGGTTTCCAGGTCGGCGGATCGGGTAGGATGCATTAAAGACTTTATTTCCCTATTTTCTCCCTGAGTTGTACATTTCCTCATGTCCCTTTCCCTTGTAAATAAACCTTTTATTAACCTTTTGTGTGTGCCTGTAGTGGAGTATTCATAAGTCCCTTTTAAGCACGCGAGTGAGGACCCACAGCCAGGCAACCCGTTTTATATCGGGGCTGCTCTGTAACACTCACTCATTTGGTTCCTGTGGTACAGGAAAAAAAGTAACAAACATGGGTCCATCTTTTGGGTCACCTGGTGGCACCCCAGAAATGTAAAGGCATCGGTAAGTCTGGCCTCAGTCAAAATTTTGACAACTTTCACAGGAATTATCACTAAGATGTAAAGTGCCGAGACTAAACCAACTCTTCAACTCTTCCTGGTCCTACTGGTGACGGGGCCTCAAATTCTGTGTACCAATCCAATGTGCCAGACTGTCTAAATGCTCGTCCAAATGTCTACTTATTTCCAGTTCCACATTTAGGACATGACTCAAGGCCCTTCTGGAATGGATGAATATTGAAGAACATTACATGATTATCCCCATGCCTTTAACCTACCTTAGAATCCGTCCTCCTTGGGACAAGCTAAAACACCTGCATCACTCCCCTTTTCTAATGTTCGGACAGGTTCATCTGGAAAAGAAGAAAACAACATACTCATTCACCAAAACATCCATGTCTGTAGATGAAAAACCTGTAAGTATAGGAAAAAAGCAGCTGGTTATGTTGGGGGGTGGGGGCGTCCAGGGGGTAGGCAATGTCCCCTCCCCCAGGCAAACTCAAGATTGACAAGTTACTTTTCATATGTTTTGCATTCAACCAAACTTCTGAATAAAGCACAATGTGAAAATAATTCCAAGCCATCCTTCAGAAACTGCAGCTAGGGTAAGAGATCAAACTGAGACTCTGAAAAAGTTTTTGTCCTTCAGAATGATCAGTTCCACAAGTGGTGGACTTGCTTTGTGAGGAAACAATACATGAACAAGAGTCTTTCAGGGCCTAGAGAGTAAAACTCCATCTCCATAGCTATTGACAGTATTTTACAATGAAATGTACACAGTTGTTTGCTTTTACTTCATGAAATGTTATGCTAAAGTGAGAAGTATGAGTGTGTCTTTATTTATTTATTTATTTATTTATTTTTTGTGGGACCCTCGCCGATGGCCGGGGATCGAACTGGTGCTGCAGAGGCTGCGGGCAGCCTCGCAATCCAGCGCTCAACCACGCGCTACCAGGGGAGGCCCATGAGTGTGTCTTTATTTGAAGAATTCTTCACCAAGAATTTCGTTGGTGGGGGGGAAGCTAATCAAAATAGCACGACACTGGGACAAACACAGAAACAGGTTAATGGAATAGAGGCCCAGAAGTAAACCCACATAAATATGTAGTTACTCTTTAAGAAATGAGCCACAGCCATGAAATGAGAAAAGAAAGAAAGCCTCTAACAAATTGTGTTGGGAACATGGACAGCCCCATGCAAAGAAGTGAAAGTAGATCATTACTTAACTTCATTCACAAAAATTAAATCAAAATGGATTGAAGAGAACCACCCCAAATAAAGACACTAATGAAAAAAAAGAGGTGGGGGGACATCAAACTAAGAAGATCTTACCTCTGGTAGCCTCAAATCTGCCATGATATTTTCTAGGTTTATTTTAATTTAGTTTTTTGTCTGATTTTTTTCTTTATATTCCAAGTGAGTGAAATTATCAAATATTTGTGCCTGTCCTTCGAACTTACTTCACTTGGCAAAACTCCCTCCTGTCCCATCCATGTTGTTTTTGTTGCTAGTGGCAAGGTTTCCTCTCCTTTCATAATTGAGTAGTACTTTATTGTTTTATTGCATATATATACTAATTTTTTTATCCACTCATTTGTCATATAGCATGTAAGTTGTTTGGCCAAATTGGCTATTGTAAATAATACTTTATTTTTTGTTTTTAAAGATTTATTTATTTATGCATACAAGAGCTGGGGTACAGGCCAGAGATGTGGTGGTGGTGGGGGGGGGGGTGGTTGAGAGGATTCACCAGAGACAGAGCGGGGAACAGAACAGGCAGATGGACTGAAATACACTGCTGAGGGGAGCAGCAGGCAAGTCAGGAGAGGTCTGCCGCGCCATGTGGGTATCTTCCCAGCCGGGGATCGAACTCATGCACCAGTGGCTGTGGCTAGCTTCTGATAGCTTCATAGATTGCATCTTAACCACTTGTGCCACCAGGGAGGCCCTCCAACACTAGTTTTTTTAAATGGGCCATTCTCACAGGTGTAAGGTGGTATCTCACTGTGATTTAGATTTGCATTTTCCAGATAAGTGATGCTGAATACTTTTCAAGTGCCTGTTAGCCATCTTTCTTTCTGTCTTCTTCGGGAAAAGTGTCTTATTGAGCTCTCTGCCCTTGTTGTACTGGTTATTTTCTTTTTGTTGTTCCTGGGACTTTTTAGATCCACAAAGGGTGGAGGGAGAGACCATGCACCAGCGAGTGGGTGACATGCTTGAAGCAACAGTGCCATCAAGCAGAAGCTTTTTGAGGCTCGCCTCCATGCCCTCTCTGTAGACCCTGCTGGAAAATCGTGATGGGGCCAAAGAAGGGACAATTTGGGGGCACTAACTATTTCAGGGCAGGACTGAGTCAATGAGCACAAATTAGTAAGTGTGCAAACTAACACTGTGTTAAGGGGTCAGCATGACTCATCAAGAAGCAGGGGGCCACGGGCTTGGTTGGGGGTGTGGCTTTTGTAGCTGCCTTGATCAGGGAAAAGCTAAAACTATTAGAGGACTTCTGGGCTAAGGATCCTTGCCCTTCTTTAGGGTGTACACTTGGGTGCCTGGGATCTCAGGGCCACAGGGATCCACACCTAACAAAGTAAAGGGGAAATGGATGCATCGGCACACTTCAATTTTTTTTAAGATTCATTTTTATTTATTTATGCATACAAAAACTGGGTTGTACATAGACCAGAGTTGCGGGGAGGGGGTGAGAGGATTCACCAGAGACAGAGTGGGGAGCAGGACAGGCAGATCTATTGAAATACACTGCTGAGGGGAGCAGCGGGGCGAGACAGGAGAGGTCTCCTGCGCCATGTGGGGCAGCTCCCAGGCAGGTGATTGAACTCCTGCCATAGTGGCCGCCAATAGCTTGATAATGCTGAGACTTTAACGCCTGCACCATCAGGGAGGCCCCAGCACTCTTCAATTTTCAGTTGTACGGCTCTGGAGCCTAGCCAGGGAGTGGGTAGAATGAGGACTTATCCTTTGTACTGCCTGCGACTCTCATTTCCCTGCCACAGACTCCAGTGGAAAAAACCCAAGGGGGCCTCCAAACGATATCCACTTGATGGCAGTATTGCAACACGAATGCCAACCTACCTCAGTTCCTCCTCCTCTCCCTCCACCCATTGTTAAGGGAAAAAAGTACCAAGCTCCATCCAAGCTGCTTCAAACATGGCAGCTCACCATCTTGCCTATGCAGTGTGAGAACTTTCATTTCTAGTGCTCCAGGGAACACCACTCTAGTCCCTTTTGGCACATCTTAGCCACCTTCGTGACCAAAACACAGTGGCAGCTCCTCGAAGCCATTAGCAATGGAACTGACCCTTTCCATAGTTCCATCTAGTCTTCCAGGTTTGCCAAGCAATACACAGAGATACATGGAGAGTGAACACAGAGCCAGAGACTTCCCCCAGGCACTTCCAGGGGCACATTCTTACTGGAACACTCTTAGAGGCACCCAAAGACTCATTCCCAAGTAGCCAGGCACAAGACGTGGCAGTCCCAGAGGCCCCGGGATATAGGGGTTAAGAGTGAGGTGAACCTCCAATAGCAAAGTATGGGTGGGTCCAAGGGAGATACCTGTTCACATCTGGTTTCCTGGGGTCCAGGGAGGGTATGCCAACAAAGGGTCATCACAGATGGTAGCAAACAGTATGAACTGGTAACTGTGGACTACGTAGTTTATAGGACATTTCATCAGATGTCAACATAGACCAGTGACCTGGTGGTATTTTACAAGCTTCCCTAGAATTTATATAAAATCTGGGGTGAAGAGAGGATGTAGATCCGTTTAACTTAGGCTAATAGCTTTTATTACTTCTATAGTAAACAGGCTCCAAATCGAAAGTGAATTCAAGAAAAATATTTGTTGCTTATCTGAGTATTTAATTTAAGTACATTGATTGATCCTGGAAATTAGCCTTTGGTGGTTAGGAAAAAAAACGGACGGGAGCCAAATAAGGACGCTTTACAGCCTTATTTTTCCACAAATGTTCTATGCTCTTTCTGTTAGGGGGAAAAGGATGTCCCAAAGCAAATTCCATATAGGCTTTGTGGACTCCACCCACACCCCAGGTCAAAGCCAAAGACACTGGGAACTCCAAATCCCATCACCACCAAAGGGAAGGTGGCTGGGACCTGAGGGTGGGGTTAAGCAGCCAGGTGGATACAAAAGGCAGACACGTGGGCTTTGGGGGCTCTCTCTCTCTCTCCATTTTTGGGCTCTTGGCCAGCAGCAGCGTCCGGTCAGCTCTGAGAGTGACTTTGGGGTTTCCAGGTCGTCGGATCGGGTAGGACGCATTAAAGACTTTATTTCCCTATTTTCCTTTTCCCCCTAACATTTCCATTAAATCAGCTTTGAAGACAGATTTCATTCAGAGTTGTTTGTTCCTTCCTAAGATGAGACATTTCTGAAAGAGTAGTAGTAACAGATCTTGACTAGATGAAAAATACTTTCAGAAGCCTGAAAATATTTAAAATTATATAAAACTATCAGCAAACTTTAACCTTAGACTTCTCTTAATAGGTTAACATTATAATTTGTTTTTTTCCTGGTTTTGTAACAATGATTCAACAAAACAAAAATTTTGCCTTGTAAAAAGAAAAATAGGGGCTGGTTGTCAGTAAGGAAGCCAGGTGCTGCCCAGGACACCTCAGCTTCCATGGCCCTGGCCCAGGGTCAATCTCTGGACAACTCTCAAGTAAAGAAAAGTAGTGGGGAACGCCTAGGTTTGTGTTTGCTTGTAAGGACCTTCTGCTTTACCAGTAAGCAATGGAGGGCAAACGCAACCGTCTATGGTCATGTTCCTAAATTAGCCCCCCTATTCCCTCATATCAAGTGTACCTTGACAACTGCCCTGTTATGTTAGGGCACATAAGAAGGATGAAGATGCCCCCAGCAGGCATGGAAAACTGCCTCATTAGCCTCAAAACAAGAAGCATTGTAGGCCTCCACACAAGATTCCGTGCAATCCTCCCACAGTAGAGCAGTCTGTGGTTCCAGAGGCCCGCCTCCTCTGAGAGCCGATGCCAGCTGGGCCCCAATGGGCACTCAGAACTACCAGGCTCTTGGTCTCAAAGTCAGCCCAGTGGGATCAAGAATGTCAATAATGGGGCCTCCCTGGTGGCACAAGGGGTAAAGATGCAACCTATGAGGCAATCCGCAGCAACTGCAGTGTGAGTTCGATCCCCGGCCGGCCAGGGAGAAACCCACATGGTGCAGCAGACCGCTCCTGACTCGCCCGCTGCTCCCCTCAGCAGTGTACTTCAGTCAGTCTGCCTGTTCTGATCCCCGCTCTGTCTCTGGTGAATCATCTCACTGCCCCCATCTCTGGCCTGTACCCCGGTTCTTGTATGCATA